AGCTGAGCAACAATTTTTCCCCTTCACAAAATAGTTGTTTGGGTTGTTTTGTTGTTTTGTTTTAATTTGATTAAATGTTTTGGTGAGGCCTGGATCCAGCATTTGCTTTCCTAAGTCATCCTTAGCAGAAGCCAGATTGCTGATTTCTAATACTGTGGAGCATTTATGCTGTTCAGAAAACTGCTGTTCTGGCAGAGCAGCTACATTTTAGCAGCTTGCCAAACATGAAGGTGATAGAAGGATAATCTTTCACTCCCACCCTCAGCTGTTCTTGACAGCAATGAGATGGTTATTAAGAGTCTGTTTCTTTAGCAGCCAGACTCACAGTGAGCAGGATCCTTTCCTTGGATGTGCACCAGGTAGCTGTGTTTAGATCTATGATCCAGCTACTTGGGGCCCTCCCAAAAGGCTTCCTGTCTCTCTCTGTCCTCTCAACTGACTTGTCCAGGCAGCTCCTTTTTCTGAAAATAGGACTCAGCTGTCCAAAGCAAGACCTAAAATCCCCACAACTGGAACTCCCAACTTTTCTTTCTTCTCTGAGGATCTACCACTTTAACATTCAGAAGAACATGATGTTAATAAACCAACTGTTCTTAAGGAAGGCAAAAAAGTGCATAACAAGACAGAAGTACAAACAATAACAGCCCTGTTCTCCTGTTTGCCCCAGGTGTTTTGGTGGATTGAACTCAGAGTCTTCTGCAACACACAGAGTATGTTCCTTTCTCCAAAAGTAGTTTTCCCACCTTCAAATGAACATTCCTGGTGTACTACAATACTGGGGGGCTGCAGTACTTCATGAGATTCTTTATTGTCTTGGCTAATACCTTTCTAAAATCTGAATTTAAAAAGATGGGGGTAGAATAACTTTCAAAATAGCCAGTTCTTCATTCAAGGGTACCTCCATTTTACAGGACAATTAACATATAAAACAACATATGTTCAGCTTCAGGCCTGCATCCCAGCATCTGGATTTCTCAGCTCCGTCTGGCATCTAATAAAAGAGCAAAGCCTCATAAATTCAACTCAGAAAGYAAACTAAWTTTTGTACATTTATCACAGCCATAYAGAGATGTATTCACTTTGCTTGAGACTATGAATACATAAATTCATGGRTCTCCCTAAGCAGCAATAACAAGCACTTGTTTTGATTGATAAACTGTAAATCATAGAATGGCTTGTTTTGGAAGGAGCTTAAAAATCATCTCATTCCAACCATACTGCCTTGAAGGGACACCTTCCACTAGACCAGGTTACTTTCTCTGAACCCAATTCAATCCAGCCTTGAACATTCCACAGAYGGAGCATCCACAAATTCTAGATGTAACCTGTTTCAGTGCCTCAGCACCCTCACAAGAAATAATTTCTTCCTAATATCGAATCTAAATCCACTCTTTTTCAGTTTGAAGCCATTCCCCCTTGTCACTACATGCCCTKGTAAAATGTTCCTCTCTGTCTTTCTTGTAGGGTCCCTTCAAGTCCTGGAAGGCTGCAATTAGATCACCCTGATATATTCTCCCCTCCAGGCAGAACAATCCCAAATCTGCCTGCTTTTCCTCATAAGAAAGGTTCTCCATCCCTTTAATCAACTTGGTAACCTCCCCTGGACTCATTGCAACAGGTCCAKGTYCTTCCTGTGCTGGGGAAGATTGATTTTTGGAAGGAAAGAAGCAAACTCTCTATCTGCAGTTTATGTAGTCCCACAGCTAAAAAAAAGGCCTGGATTAGGGTCTATGATTCTTCGACAACCCTGTGCTCTTTCCTACACATATTTCTGTGGTTTGAGGTGTTCACTAGGTTGTTTTCTTTCTGGAATGAAAAGAGYCCGTGGTGTTTGTTTTTGTTACCCTCATTGCCTGTTTCCCTGCTCCAGGCAGGAAAGCGCTTGCAGCTCTCCTCATACTTTGGCAGGAAATTTAAGACGGCAGTAAGCTGCTGCTCGGACCACCCCCAGGCTTTTTTCCTGCTCATGCAGGAGGCTATTTAATTGAGGGCTGATTTGTCCAACTTACTGACGCTCAGCAGTACCTACCTAACCAGGGGCAGTGATTTTTTCCCTCCYTTCCTCCTCTTTTGGACAAAGTCCCCGCAATGAAGATGCTGCTGCCCCTGATTGCTCTGCTCTCTGCTGCCTTGCTCACCAGCACAGCTCCTTCAACTTGCTACTCCAGGGTGCTGTCTCTGAGCAAGGAGATCACTGAGTCCTTTAAGGAGCTGCAGACCTCCAAAACTGTGGTGAGTCCACCTAAAAACTGCTCCTGCACAAACATTGTGAGTTGTCACTTCTGACACGGGTTTCTCTCAAACCAAAATCTTTCTTCTTTCCTGCAGGACTCCTGTGTGGAGACCCTGCCCAGGCTGTATTTGGACATACATGTAAGTTTGCACGCTTCTTTCTTGCTGTTGTGCAGTAAAATCAGTAAATGCAAAGTGRGAATAACTCTTAATATTATACCCCAGAAGAGCGATTTGAAAGGATTTTTAAAAGATTAATTAACTAGATAGATGAGTGACAAAAAAAAAAAAATCTCAGTTTTAACGTTATTAAAATCCCTATGGACTTTCTGTGATTTTACTTGATTAAAAATTTTAAAATTAGGAAATCAACATTAAATTATTACAATATGCACACTATTAATTTACTGTGATGGAACCTTTTCAGAAGTTAAATATGTGCAACAAAACTTTGGAAAATGGTTTAAAAGAAGAAATGCAGAATAAACTTTCTTCCCTTAATAAATCTGCTTAATTTTTTTATCTTGAGTGATTTTTGCCATGTAGTTTTAACAAAAAGCAATGCAAGAATACCTTGCTGGCTTTTTCTCTTTTAAAGAGCTACACATTTAATCCAGAAAGAAAATGTGTGCCTGAGGATATGGAATTGTGATACTAAGGAGAAACAGCAGTAGCTGTCTCACAGCTAAGACAAAAYAACCTCCTGCACACACAGTTTGTGTCATAGTGCTCTGCAGTGGGATGTTTGATCTATTTTGTTTCTTTTTCCAGTGCTCAGCTGAGCAAATAAAAATTAGAAAATATCAGACAAATTTCTGTCATACATTTCTGTAGCAACTACACCAAGACTTGTAATTCAGAACCCCCTAGATACCAATTCCAGAGCTGCCAGTGTCTCACATCATGGCAAAGATCAAGAAATGTGAGTCCAGTGCCTCAGTTTCCCTGTTTCTAAAACAAAAGCTGGGGTATGTATTTACCTGTTTCACAAGGATGTTGTGAATTTCGTGTTGTCTGTGCTTTATTTTGATAACACAAAGTCTGAGTTACAAAGTCCCTCTGAAAAAATCAGGACTGGCAGTTGTGGTTTTGCCTGTTGTACAGGAACAGGGGAATTGGGTCTGTGAGATCTTCAAAATCTGTTCATCTGCTGGATCAGTTTGTCTCTAAAAAAGTGAGACAGTGCATCTATTCTGTAGAATACTCCACCTACCTCTGGAGCAGATTTGATTGCATTGGCGCTGCTTCTCCTAAAGCATGTGAGAAATAATCTGCAGACTAAGACTGTATATAWACAATTTTCCAAGYRCTTATTTGCAYCAAACATCTTTGYTMTAAAATATTGATGATGAATTTTCCYAGCTAAAGATTGCATAGATGATATGTCCATAGAGGTAGGAATTCAAAATTCCCACATAAGCGGCGAGATTTTTGGAAGTGGTTGATAGGAAACATAAATCTGTGTTTGAGCAGGGTTACACAGACCTCTTTTGCGTGCTTTGCAGAATTATTGTGTGCTGGCAAAACTCCGTGAATTTGTGGCCWACCCCGGATGTGACAGAGTGGYTGAAGTGAATGAGCTGAAGGAAAAAGCCCGGAGCCTGTACACCATCTTGACCTCCTACTGCAGAAGGGTAGGTCAAGATGCACCCATGGGGACAGAGTCTCTGCTTTTAGCCCTCCTTGTCTCCACACTGTCCCCTGCCCAGCACAACCAGATCAGCCTGAGCTTCTCAACATTGTGCTGTCTTCTGCCTTCCTTCTTAAAAATGTCAGCCTTCTTTTTCTCTTTTTTTTTTTGTTTCTCCAGGACTTGGTGTTCCTCACTGATGACTGTAATGCTCTGGAAATTCCTCTTTCACCTCCCATTGAACACTCCATCACGGAGAGCTAAAAGCCAGTTAACCCAAAAGTTATACCTGGGAAATTTTCGAGAAGACCAAGAGCCAAAATATGTACATGCAGTCTGTAACATTAACAACTAAGATCTTTTTCAAGCACACTAGCAATATAATCTCAGACYTACCCATTTTTCTCTGCCTTGGCAGGAAATGAATTGCATGCCTCGCATACCTGCTGAGCTGCTAGAGAACCTACCATTAGGGAGCAGTTTTTCGTTTGGCAAGGTGTGATATTTCAGCTTAGCCAAATGYATAAAGTATGTTTTGTTTAAACATCAGAAGCTAGGGTTTTTTTACTCTTTTATGAATAACTAGATTCATATAAGGGAAAAATTGTGTGATTAACCTTCTCTCTCGACTTGGCTGTTTTTCTTGTATTAGATGGACATGGAAGGGACCATATTTGTTTTTCTTAGAATGTTTGATGGGGGAAGAGTAACACTGTACTAGCAGATTTTTCTGCCTGTATGGCTCATATATATACCTTGATAGTTTTTGATGTCAGATTTGTGAGAATAGAGGTGAAAGAAACATGTCTCTGTGGAAAACTAAATAAAAACAGTCTTCTAATCCAAGATGCTTGTGTTGCAACATGTCTTTCAAGATCAAGCTGAAAGGTGTCAGTCTTACAAGCTAACTTTTCACAGTCACTTGCAAGTTGGTTTTCCCAGCATAACCTCTGTTTCCATAGCAATGAAAACTTTGTTTTTTCTGCATGATTTGACAGCATGCAAGTTTCTTCCAGTAGAATTTTTCCGTAGTGCAAACAATTTCTTTGATCAAATTAGTGATTTGTTTTTAATAGTATTTCTGGGTTATGAGAACATAAATCTTGAGCCAGAGGCTCAGAAAGCCTATTAAAATTTCAGACAGTTTTTTTGAGACATAACCCATATAATTGAGCTACAGGGATTAATAAAACTTCCAGAAAATAATTCCAGAGTCATGGGTGTCTTCAGAAACTGCAACACTCAAGACCCTCACAACCAACAGCTGTGGGTGCCAAGAACAGAAAGGATCTTCCTCATATTCTTGGAAGTAGCTGCTGTCACCTTCCTTCCCTCTGTGCAAGCAATTCCTCCCTCTCCTGTATAGTACTTGCCAACCATTCAGCTACAGAACTGCCAACTCTTGGTGTCTTGGTCAGTGATCTTACCATGTTTTATAACAACTTCTGCAACTGGGTGTTTGTATGACAATCACAGCTTCTCTAKTTGTCATCCTGATGGTACAAACCAAAATGTTTCACAAATGTTATGTAAGTAAGGGAATAATAATACTAATTCAAAGAGGAAAAAACTGTTGGGAATGGGCAGAAAAGGTTTTTTTTTGTTATTTTGGGATCACCCTGCTTTTGTACGAAACCTTAGTTTTGTACTAGTCTGATTTTAGCTGTAGAAAAAGTGACTCTCCCTTTGAGTCATGGAATAAGGCTGGGAAAATTTGAACTCAGGAGAGGTACAAAGGGAAGAAATAAACAAGTGYTTTTCTTTCCAGCTTGTTCCAATTCTAAGTGTTCATTCAAGGAATGTGACTGTCAGACTTTGTAATTCCCTCTTGAAAATTAGGTCCTCATGTGCTAACCCTACTAATTCTTTAGATGATCCATTCTGCCCATGAGGGTTTCACTCAAGTGTCTCTACAAGGATTGGTAGAGACAGTAACAACTCAGCAATCTGATCTAGTACCAGGCTGAACTCAAAAACATGCAACAGCTCAGATAGTCCTGCTAGCAGGAAAATTATTGCTCAGTTTGCCTTTCAGGATCCTTTTCTCCAAGCCAATAGCCTCTGTACAAGATCCAACACACCTTAGACATACCAATACCTATTTTCTGCATCACCTGGACATGCCCAAGGCCAGCTCTTTCAGCAGCAGCACGTTCTGCAATAAGAGCATCTATTAACATGCTGGCAGGGAGCCTGGTGCCCATAGAAGGAGTGTGTGAGCAATGGCAGATCCCTGGATCCAGGGAGAAACACAGGTAGAGTTGAACCATTTGCTGTCAGGTTTCACATTCAAGTTTTTGSTCCCTTAATCAGGGACTGAGACTCCTCCTAGGGAAGCAAGCAGTGCTGGSATTACAGCAAGGTCTATCCACTTCCATGCAAGTACCAAAACCACACCACAGACTCTGTTTTTCTTCTGTTTACACAAAGCGAGCCATGGATGAGCCCTTCAAGAAAGTGTGGTACAGTCACCACAGTGCTTGCAAAGCTGACCCAAAGAGAYTGGGCAGTACACGTGTTTGGAAACTGGCAGCAGAAGCTGTTAATTTTTGGCTGYTTTTTCCACCTCCAGATGTCACAGGTTTTAAACACTGGTTTGTTGTAAAGCTTGTGCTGTGACTWTGCAAGAAACTGCAGATCAAGATATGTTTCCTCTCCTGCAGGAGCCCAAACCATTGTGCCTAGGAACAGACCCTGGGTAGATGTGCAGGTAACTTTGGCACTTCTGCCACTGCTGCTTTCCTGTCCCAGGGATACACACTCTCTGAAATGGAGTTTTGCATGAGGATTTCTCACAGATCTTCTCATAAYTCCTCTTTTTCTTTATTGAGGCTAATAAGACTACCCTAGACATTTTGATGGAACTTGTGGTCCTAACTCCAATATGATGTTCCCATTCCTTCAGCCATCTTCCAAATATAGTTTCTCCTGTTTCAGGCTGATTACTTCTGTGAAGAAAATGTAGCCTAATTTATTTAGTACAAAATACCTTGCAAGAAGTCCTTGGAACTGGAAACAGAGTAGAAATCACCACTTTATTTGCACTATTTTTGTTAGTAACTTTAGCTTTTTTTTTGTGAGTGACAGGGACACACTGCAATGCACTCTTAGCATGGCTGCTTACCAACAGTTCTGTTCTGTACTGGCACATCCTGATTCTGCAGAAGCTGTAAAAAGCAAGTAGGTGCTTTGGGGACCGTATGTACTTGAATGGACTTTAAAAGCCTATTCTCCATTTGCAGATGCTGTATATTTTATTCCCAGAACCAGTTTTGTCTGGTCGTTGGTGTGCTTTTACAACAACTATATTCCCTATGGTTTATGCTGTGACTGTCTCTACATCTCATATGACATTTTTAATGGAAAGTGTGCTCAGAGAAAGCTGTACTCTTTCAGCTCAAAGTAACCTCCTGTCATTCAAACTGTCTTAATAAGATTTGTAATTAGAKGAACCCTTTTTATGAATAACATATTTTTCCAGGTGGTCATGGTCCAGGGACAAAAAAAAMCCCACTGATAAAGAGATAAAGAGACATAATTCATTTGTAATTTGACAAGAAAACATCCATTTCTCCCTTTCAGTATGACATCAAGTTTACCAACTTCTTAATTTACCAGGTATATAAGGAGCAGTGAAGCCATTCATGCAGCTGAGCATTCATTCCTGCAGCACAGCAGCCCATGCTCATTAGGGCCCTGGCCAAGAAGGAGACTGTGGAGGGATTAAGAAGGACATATTTGTTGTAATTTGCCAACTGGCATCTTGCCTAGTTATTGCAGAATATTGCTATAAGCACATCATTAAGAAACTGCACTCAGTTTGTACAGCGATTAGGGGAGAACTGTAGAAAAACAAAGCATCTGCTCTGTTTCCCTGCCTGTTGAAGGATGTTTGTTGGAAGGAGCAGTCAGCTCTAGGAATAGGTTTTCTTTTGCACACTTCTATATCTTTGCAAGGAGCTTTGCTAAAGACTGTCCTAGGACTGCTAAACTCTCCCTTATATTACCTTATATTACCTTGGGATATGGAATCCCAAGGTCTTGGGTACTGTCTCTGCAAAGCTATTAAAAACATCCATTTCCAGTTTTGCCAAATATYCATAGATCAGTTTTGCTAGAACCAGCCCCTTTCCCTTCTCTTTTCTCCAGTCACATGGGCTTTCCTCAAGTAAGCACTCTGATCACTTAACTCCTCACACACTGGGTTTTTGTGAAATCAAGAAAGATTATTTGAACTGAAATTTGAATTGATTATTATATGAAATAATTAGATCATTCCAGTAATGAAGTTCTACTGGATAGAATGTGACTTGTTTCTAATTAAAGTGCTACAAATATTATGATGTATTTTTCTTTTTTACCTTTTTTCTTTTTTTAAGAAAAGGAAAAACATTAATGCAGCATTGAGGAGGAATCTGATCTTTTAGGCTGTACACTTTGAGCTGAGCACTGGTTTGTCCAAACATAAGATTTAAGAGTGCCCATTTGTCCATTTCACCATTTTCAATGCCTGTCGTATTTGTGGGTTGTGTTAAGGGATGCTGACAGAGATTTTCTAAAAACTTGCTACAATGCTAMTGTCTGGTAAATAAGGTTACCTTACAAATATTTAACCACTGTACTTGAACCTGTACTTTTACCCACATTAAAATCTTCTCATTTTTGGAGTGGTGGCAGTGCAAGTGAAAATTACAATGGACAAGCTCAAGCAACTTTATTTGTTCAGTCTTTTGAGTTCACAATTTTCTTTTGCTATGACCAGGGACTCTGTGCCATTCGGAGTAAACAAAGCAGTCTTCAAGGGAAATCTTGAYAACAAAGTCAAAATTGAGAGACAATGTCCAGAGAAAGGTCACAATCCTATTATCAAAGGATTTTTCATAGTCTATGTTTCAAGTTTCTTCAGCATAGGGTAAATGTATATGCTCAGATAAATAATACAGCAATGAACACAAAACCTATCAAAATATGTCTTTCTTATACAGATAACTATATAGATACATGCCCTGACATCTTTTCTTGTGTTTACTGATCTGTAAAGAGGATGTGTTCAGACAGCTAAGAGAATTTTAAAGCCAAACAAATGTGGGGGAAAGAAAAATCATCTTTCTCTAAAGATGTTGTGCAGTAGATTGAAATATATTAACATTACTTCCTTAATACTCAAATCTTACAGAAGAAAACACCAAAGTCATAGAATAAGAAGGAAACTCCAGATCTCCTACTGCATCCCTTAAGCCCAAGACTGGCCTGTTTATCACAGGTCTTTTCTGGTAGCAGTTAGCCTGAAGGGCTTTATGRAACAATTGATCTAAAAAAACCCACAGCACTTCAAATGGGTCCATTCCAGACCCTCCTTTTGTTACAAAGTTTTACCTGGAACCCAATTTCCCCTCTCAAAATTTACCTCCCTTTACTTTCAAATTTATTCATCAGAGAAACAGGGATTAGATTGTTCTTTGTTGTCTTTACTGCAGATATTAGTTGAAAGACTTCTGTCTCTCTCCCTACTCTACAAATCCAATTCTTTCAATCTTTCTTCATTGATCAGAGGTCTAGAAAATACAGTCCTTCCTGTTGTCTTTCTTCTMGCTCTATTCACTTGTTTCCCATCTCTTTTGGAGCACAGAGCTTGAAGTTAAATGTAGACATCCAGCTGAGCCTTTATCAATGTCAAGTAGTGTAGAAAGAAAGATTTATTGAAATGAAAACAGCAGATTACAAATGAAAAATTATCTCCAAGTATTTGGAGACAATGTTTCACTTCTTTATTTAAATTCTAAGATGAATATAAAAATTTGGAGTATGAGTTGGGCTCGCTACTC